AAAATCTAACAAATTTCCACCCTCCCACCTCCGCCCACCCGGATCTTTCGCGACGTTGTTTCAGACACATTTTCTTCCCCGCAGTGCTAAAAAAGGTCACCCCTCACCCTCCCCCTTCCATTTCCCTTTTCTTACTATTAATTTTTTTTTAAAAAAAAATCTCTTTTTCTCCCTCAAAAAACCCTCTTGTTTTTCGCCGGTAGCTTCTGCTCTGCTCCCCTTTATAAGCCGTCACCTGCTTTCATCACTTCTCTATTTTCTTTCACTTTACAAGCTTTCTTCAAACGAATCCCACCTGGGTTTGCATGCACTCTTCTTCTAGAAACTTCGTCCTCTTTTCAACATTTATTTCCTTCTAGATTTCGTTTCTGCGTTTAATGGGTTTTTGTTTTTAGCTTTTGAGATTATGGTAGCTTGTGAATGGTGCAGTTTTGAGTAACGGCTGAGGTAAATACATTACCTGGTACCCACCATCGGTTTTTTGGATTATTTCAGGGAAAAAGGGGTGTGGGGTTTTCCTTGTTTGTTTGTTTTGCTTGCTGAGAAAATATTTTTCGTGTTAATAGCATGACATTTGAATTTTTTAGCTTTTGGTTTTTCTTCATTCTGTAACAGATTTTGGAAAGGAATCAAAAAAACAAAAGAAAAAGAAGGGAGGTTGAGTGAGTGTGATACTATTAAATGGCTCCAGCTACCAACTGGCTCTCATTTTCACTGTCTCCAATGGACATGTTGAGGTCATCTTCTGAGTCTCAGTTTGTGTCCTATGAGGGTTCTTCTGCACCTTCACCGCATTACTTGATCGATAACTTCTATGCTAATGGTATACCCTCTTTTATTTCTTCTTTTCTTTCTTTTTTCTTCTTTTCCTTTTCCATTCTTTTGATCATTTGGTTGCCGAGAAAATTCGGGAAAAGAACCGAAAATTTTTTGTTATCCCACTTTTGTGTTTTTTTTCTTCAGCAGCTCAAACAAAATGATAGGTAGTTTACTAGACTTTGCTGGTGAATATTTTAGTTTGAGCTCTTTCTCATAAGCAGAAAATAGAAAGATCCCAGAAAATTTTCTTTATTATGTTTGGTTGTCGGGAAAAGATATGAATGGGAAAGAGTAGAATCACGAATTCGAAGGTCTTTTCCGAGGAGTTACTGTAGGAAGTTTGAAAAACTTAAAAAGAGAAATGGTATGAACTTAATTTATTGTCCATTTTGCTAAAGAATCCAAGCAATCCTTCATTTTTCTCTTTACCTTTATACAGTTTCCCAGTATCCAAACAGTGGCTTGTGTGTTTTTCAAACTCGGTTTGTGTTGATTTATGGTTCATTTGCTTGATTTGCAATCTGCATGCGCTTGATTTTGTGGGTCTGATGTTGGTGCAGGATGGCCGCAAGCAAAACCCCAAATGTTCTTCATGGAAGGTGAAGAGACCCAGAACAGGGAGACTCATCAGTCACATACCATAGCTGATTCTCCCATCTTCATCAACCCACAAACCCAAACCCAATCAGTACCGAAGCTCGAAGACTTTCTCGGTGATTCTTCATCAATCGTTCGGTATTCCGATAGCCAAACAGAAACCCAAGATTCCTCCCTCACTCAAATCTACGATCATGGGTCCACCTACTTCAACGAGCACCAAGATCTCAATGCGATTACTGGGTTTCAAGCGTTTTCTGCCAACTCGGGGTCAGAAGTTGATGACTCGTCGTCAATGGGTAGGACTCAGTTAACGGGAACCGAGTTCACCGGCCACTCTATTGAGTCATCGGGGACTGATTTGGGGTTCTCCAATTGCCCCACCGGAGCTCTGTCTCTCCGGGTTAATCAGAGCAGTGATGACAGTAAGACTAATAACAAGGACAACAATACCAAGGCCATTGTATCCGTTGACTCCGATTGTTCTAAGAAAATTGCAGACACTTTTGGTCAAAGAACTTCAATTTACAGAGGAGTTACAAGGTACCCATCTCATAAAAATCTTTTGTTTCGTCAATTCTTCTCAGTTTTTCATTATTGGGTATCTGATTTTGTTGATTTTATGGGGTTTTCCCCCCTTCATTATGGGACCCTAGTTAGCATAATGATTTTGAAATGGGGTATTTCTTTTTTCTGTTCTGACCTTTTTGGGTTTCCTTTAACTTTGATTGATGATGCAGACACAGATGGACGGGTAGATATGAAGCACATCTGTGGGATAACAGCTGTAGGAGAGAGGGTCAGGCCAGAAAAGGGCGTCAAGGTCCTTCATCTTTTTCTCCCCTTCATTTTATACTTTCTTTAATCCCATTTGGGTGTTTTTTATATTGAACAATATATCCATGTTTTGTAAGTATGTGCAGAGGAAGCCATAGATTCAATGTGACATCTGAAAAGAAACTTGCATGCATTTCATAGGGCGTTAATTGATAGTGGGGAGGTCAGTAGTATAGGGGCATCAGCCTTCTTTTCTTTGTTCTGAATGATTGAAAGACTGATGTGCAATGTGCATCATATATAACGTACCATGGTACTTTTCTTTCTTTTTCTTTAACTTCTTGATTGATTTGATCAGAGGTGCCGCCATTTTGCTCCCATTGTGTTATTTTCCTTCTCTCACCTCCCTTGTCCTGTCTTAATGTCCCATGGTTTTTGTTTGACATGACCCACACCACCACTTCCCTCTTCAGGCCTTATTCACTTTAGAGGGTCTGAAAGCCTGAAACAGTCTGTGAGTTTTTCTGAGGTAATGGTTCAAGCTTTTGCTTTTGCTTTCAGCCATGGGAGAGAGAGAGGGTCTAGGTTTGACCAGAGCGCCCATTTGAAAATTTGATTAAAGAAAAAGTGCCTCCATACCAGTATTATTGCCTTAACCTCTCCTGGCAGAGTTGCTCATGGAGTCTGATATTGTGGGCATATGGTTAAGGTGTCTGATTACCACCAAATGGACCTTAAGGAGTAAAAGTCATTCATCTTGGATGTAAAAGCTGATGAAATATTTTCTTTTAAGTTTTTAACTTAATAATCTTAGCCTACTCAATAATTGATCTACATTTCTAACAATTTAGATTCTTGGGCTGAAGGAGGTTTTGGTAAAGGGATAAGTTGATCAATGTAGGGGCAATTCAGTACCATTCAAGACAAATTTGAGGATATAAAATAAAATATATACACGTTTTGCTTTGCTTTAATTCTAATGAATGATTTAGTTAGAACCCTACCCTATCCTGCCACATGCTACAATCACGTGGATCTTCCTTTTGTATTATTTAGAGAAAATGATTTCAGGCAGAAAATTTTGACTTGTGCATGATCTGATGTTGAAATCCTTAACCTTTTTTTGCATGAAATGTGGGCTTATGGATGCCTGGCTGTCATTCAATGTCTGATTCGGTTCTACAGTGTATTTGGGTAAGTAATAATACCTAGTTTGGTTACCTGTATTGGTTTCTAAAGCTATTTCATTTTATAATTCAATATTGAGGATTATTTTAATTGACTAAAGATGAAATTTTGTAAATTTGTTAGGTGGATATGACAAGGAAGACAAGGCGGCAAGGGCTTATGATTTGGCAGCTCTAAAATATTGGGGTCCCACTGCAACCACCAACTTTCCTGTAATATTTTCACATAATTACATCCCACTTCTGTTTTAAACTATTCAATTCTATTTGGTCCCTCATTTTCTGCATGAGATCCTACGTAGCCTTGTGCATGAAATTATTAGCTAATTGAGGGGTTCTGCCTTGCCTCAGATGTCAAATTACACAAAGGAATTGGAGGAGATGAAACATGTAACCAAGCAGGAGTTCATCGCATCCCTTAGGAGGTATTTAGGAATCCTACTTTTTGCCTTTTTTTTTTCCTGTTCTGTTGCAGTCTGTTAAAGCTTTTATTGTTTCTGATTGACAGGAAGAGTAGTGGGTTTTCAAGGGGAGCCTCAATATACAGGGGTGTCACAAGGTTTGAACGTGTTTGATACCTGTATCATGATGTTCTGGATTGGATCTTTGCTTTTTTTCTTTCGTCAAAATCCTGTCGTCTTTAATCATTTCATATTTTAATCTTTTATTCTTTCAACTTTAACTTTGCAGGCATCATCAACAGGGTCGATGGCAAGCAAGGATAGGCCGTGTTGCTGGAAACAAAGACCTTTACCTAGGGACTTTTGGTAATGAATTAATACTTTGCTAAGCGCTATAGGGAATAATATTTGAGAACTTAAGTTTAATCTATTACGCTGTATAAAGTATATTTGGAGTTATGTTCTTGCTAATGTGTCTTTAATGTGACAACAGCTACTGAAGAGGAGGCAGCTGAAGCCTATGATATTGCAGCCATAAAGTTTAGAGGCATCAATGCAGTGACCAACTTTGAGATGAGCCGATATGATGTCGAAGCCATAGCCAAGAGTACTCTTCCCATTGGCGGGGCAGCTAAGCGCCTCAAACTCTCTCTCGAATCGGAACAAAAACCTATTCTAAGCCATGAGCAGCAGTCCCAGTGCAGCGCCATCAGCAACAACATAAGCTTTTCCCCACTCCAGCCAGTTTCTGCCATCCCCTGTGGCGTCCCCTTTGATGCTGCAGCAGCAATCTACCATCAGAACCTCCTGCACCACCTTCAAGCCACTAACATGGGCATTTCTGATTCCCCAAGCACCAACCCATCCTTGCAAACTTCAATGCCTGTAATGCCACAGCCAGCTGAGTTTTTCATATGGCCTCATCAGTCTTACTAGAATGACAACTTGCTCACTTTAACTTCTCTAATATGGCAATTCAGCTTATAGTAGCAAACTAGCAGCCACAGCACTGGCTTTGTTTCAGCGTGCTGACCCGCATCTAACCCTCACAACTTGATGATCTTCCTCTAACCTCGGCAAAGAGTAGCAGGACAAGGCAGGAGGCTTTTTTGTTTCAGGGTAAAAGTTCTAGCTTAAAATGTAGGAAGGGGGAATCTGTAAAGGATCTTATCTTCAATTTGGTAGATGTAAAACATTTCCAGTTTCTCTTAATCTTAACAAGAAAATTTTGCAAGCTCGTTTTTCACTGATATCTGCTTATACTCAAAATTCTGAAGCCTCATCCCAAAGGATATTCCATTTTTCCGGCTTGATTCAAAAAATAATTTACTAACTTTCAGTTTAGTTTTAGTTTAGTCTAGAAAGTTTGTTTCATTTCTAATTGATTTAGAAACTTTGAAAAATATTTCAAATTAATCTACAGTACAAAGAGGATGATTGCCGTTAGATTTGGAGAAAGAGTTGTCCTTTAAATTTTAAAAAAGTGACATTTAAATCTTAATAAAATATGATGAATCAAAAAATAGTTTATAGAGATAGATTGTAATTCAGATGGAGAAATTCAGTAAGTTCAGAATAAAAAATTTTAAGAATAAGTCTGTTTTATAAGACAAATTATACAATCTGTCTTATAAAATTATTAAATGTTCATACAAAAATAATATAAAAATAAAATTAAGGGTATTTAAATAATTTTATAGGATAGACTGAAAGCAGCCTGCGCTGTAATACAATTTTTAAAAAAATACATTTAGCAAAATAAGAATAAAAACTATTTTTACTGTGAATATAAATTTAAGGATTAAAAGATTAAAAGAAACATAATTAGAGTACTAAGGTTTAAGAAAATTTTCTTTAGAATTTCTATTAACTTTAAGTGTCTAGATGAAATTGAAATAAATGTGAAAGATAATAGATAAAATTAAAATAATTTAAAAATAATAGATGAAATTGAAATTAAACTGAAAGTTAGTAGATGATTTTTTGAATTAAGCACATTTTCTCCTATGCAGCTTACCTAACACCAAATACCCATCAATTACATTGTTCAGTGAACGAAGTTATGCAGTGGCCCACACAGGACAAAGCCAAGGAGTCATCCTCCATTTTCTCCAATGCAGCCTACCTAACACCAAAAACCCATCAATTACATTGCTCAACGAACGAAGTTATGCAGTGGCCCACACAAGACAAAGCCAAGGAGTCATCCTGAGCTCAACCGCGGCAAGCCCAGACAGGAGGCACTACATTAGAGGTCCAATCTCGGGGCCTCCTCGAAGAAAGTACCTTTGGAACTTGGGTTGTTTTTAGTGGGGATATCTTCAGAAGAAACAACGTGATTTGGAGTGTCTAAGCGATCTTTGATCTCTTCTGTACCATGTTCCAAGTGAATCTCGTTCCTCTGCAGAGCATGGAGATTCGAAAGGAGAAGAGAGTTCACTTTACCATCCAACTACCGAAGTTGCTGGCATCTTTTTTCTTAATTTTGCAGCAACTAATTGACAATATAATTTAGTTGATAAAAAAAAACTAAAAATAAAATGAGGTCGGTGTTGGCCAGTTAAGTTTTTAAAAATTTAAGAAGAAAAACTTTAAAGTTGTATTAAAAAAATGTTTTAACTTTTTTAAAATTGATTAAAATGGCATTTTAAGTTCTTTTTTCTTTTTCTTTTTTTTTTTTTATAGAGATCTAATTAATAAATACTTTCTCATATAATTGACTAGAGAGATGAATCTTAAATTTTAAGTATTTGAATTTATTGTTTAAACAATTGATAATTATTTATATTTATAATTTAAAAAATCTAACTTATTCAATTAAAGACACCAACTAATAATTATTTTGGAAACAACAAAACAAACACCCTTGTAGTTTTTAATGTTCACAAGCAACATAGGAGGTACCCATGGAGATCTATTTTGTTTTTTCTTTGAACTTGGGAAATTGGGGACTATGAGGGGATGGGGTATAGGGGTACAAGATTTGAGACCTCATTTGATAAGGAAAATTATTTAGGTATAATTTTTTATATTATTTTTTAGTATAATTTCGTGTGTCATTTAAATAATTAATTTTTTATTCATTTAAAATTAATAATATTAAGTAAATTTATTCATTTAATGACACGGTAAAATTATATAAAAAGATAATCCCTCTATCACCATCATATTTGACAGTAAGAGAGTGGTAAGTTTTTGGTATCTAATTTCTGACGTGAGATTTATAAAGATCTAATTTTATATAAACAAAAAAAAAAACTTATTTAAGAATTTTTACTCAATATTTGAAAGTAATAAAAATGCAACTTTTTGAAGATTGAAACAAACACCCTTGTAGTTCTTTAAGGTTCACAAGCAACATAGAAGGCTACCATGGAGATCTATTTTGTTTTCTTTGAACTTGGGAAATTGGGGACTGGTTAGGGGAAGAGGGAATAGGGGTACAGGATTTGAGTCCTAATTTGATGGGAAAAATGATTCAGTAATAATTTGTCGGTATTATTTGTTAGTATAATTTTATATATTATTTAAATGATTGATTCTTTTTATTCAATTAAGATTTGTGATATTTAAGGTATCTATCTATTTAATAATACTTAAAAGTTGTATAAAAAAATTGTTCCTATATTATTGCTCTATTTGATGGTGGAAGGGTGGTAAGTTCTCAATATTTACTTTTTGACATGAGATCTACAAAGATCTAATTTTATATAAGCAAAAACAACTTTTTGAAGAATTTTCATGCAATATTTGAAAGCAATGAAAGATGCAACTTTTTGACGATTGAATGTGCCGTGTTAGCAGCATTTTGTTAGTAGAAGGATTATACTGGTAAAAAAAAATGTTCAAAGACCATTTAGGTGCCCAATAAGTTTGGGGACTATTCTTTTACCAACTCAAAAGGTTGAGGGCCCAAATAGGGTTACTGTATGTAAACTGTGAAGCTTTCCCTTTTCCAAGTTACTACAAAAGTTGGGCGCAGGACCTGGATTAAAGAAAACTAAAAAAAAAGG